TATTGAGCAGGTCTTGTCGAAATGTTGTGTTCATCATCTACCGCAATTACGAAAAGTTGTTTTGGCAAGTGGTAGAGCTGTTGCCTCCCATTTTCCCCCAAGCACACTCCGTTGTCAGCACCACATTTTATTGGCCGAATCCCGTTGTCATCGTTGTCATTCCGTTGTCATCGGTCGCCACTTGAAAAAGTTTGTGGATTTCACACTGTTTTTGCCCAATGAAAAACGCCAATGGCGCCGGAAGCACTATTTCTCCGAGCACTCCTGCTGAACATGCAGCTCAAGTAGATATAATGCAACAGATGACAAGTTTATTTGGCAGTGTGGTGCCCATGATGATGATAATGTGGTGGTGATTTGATGATGACGAGGATGACGATAGTAGTAAAGAGACAGAGAATAACAGTAGAGGATCGCTAAAAACGTCGTTCTTTTTGGCGGGTGCTAATTTATTTCTTTTGTTGCCTGGTCTATAATAGAATCGCATATCCATCCCTGTTCCTGTCCCTACTCCTTCCAAAATCATCGCAGAGACATGCAACAACAATCGTCGTGTTCAGAAGAAAATGCGCGTTCGATTGGTGGTTGTTGTGTACAATTCGAATCAGTGGATCGTGAGACCGTCGTCGTCTTCGTGGTTGTTACTGTTATTTTTGCTGCTCTATATGTTGCTGTATATAAAATAGCACCGCCATTGTCCATCTTGGCTATACATTGTACAGGAAATCATTAAACAAAAACAAAAAAAACACACACAAGGACTGAGGACAAGAGATGAGTTTCATTCGAGATGCTTTATTGGTGTTGAAAGGAAAAAGTGCGAGATGTGTAAAATTCGAGTGTTGAGATTAGAGAAAGCGTACAAGACGAATGTTGCTTGCGTGAAGAAGATAGGACGAGTGTAGTTCGAGTGGTGTTCAAAAGGAACGTCAGATGCGGCAAAGCTGGATTCCGACGGAGCGTGTGCAAGATGGCAATTCGAGTGTTGAAATGGCGGTGAGCAGTAAGTAATAAAATAATACAAAGAAGTGAAAGAGCGAAAGAGATGCAGAAGCTACCTTTCATATAAAAAAATTTTTTCTTTATGGAGCGCTGCACCTTGAAAGGGACTTTACCCAAACACGGTGCTCAAGACCATGGATGCCATCACCTTTTCGCCTTGCCTTGTCGTTTCCTCACGTTCCTTCTGCCTTTCCCATCCGTTTATGCTTGTAATCAACACTTCTTTACAGCAAAATATTGGTCACTGCCATTCACGTTATCTACTAATATGTGTCCGACACAGGTTAATTATCTCTCTAGTACAGGTACACATACATCAGCACTCAAGAAGTATATAAAATAGCCAACAATAAAACAATCCAAAATAAGAGGTGGTGGAGAAGAAGAAGAGAGTCCCATATACATCCAAGCTCATCAATTGGAAACTCTAAACCCGGAACCTTAGTAAACCCGGACCAGGACTTGCGCGTTCGACTAAACCTGCTCGCTCACTGGCGTTCGCTGCCAGGCCCCTAAACCCGTTGCGCTTAATACCCTTCTTTTCAGCCTATTGAGTGTCTTAATGCCCCACGATGTCCTATGTTCATCAGTAGCGTAGCTGCTTGAAATCATGACAACGTACTGAGATCTGTTGGATCGCGTGAATAAAAGAATTTGCATCTGTGTCTGTCGTAGGAAGAAGCCTGCATAACAGCGAAAATGCTGCTGTTTCCTTTTTTTTTACAAACATCCAGCTCCACAATAAGCTTCAACGACGACGTATTGATGCTGATGCTCTCTTTTCAGTTGCAGTTTCCATTTTCAACTGGGCAATCCAGTGTCTCTTACACAGAAAATCCACAATCCGGTCATTTTATTCCGTTGCAATCAAATAGCGTCTTTGAGTCCAAAGACAAATTACAGCAGAAAGCTGTATAGACTGTAGGTATACCCCTCAGCAGCTTCCACTGATTGGATTTTCATATACGAACATGCATCAGAACCGCAGATGCCACATTTACTAATGCGTTTTTAAGCTTAAAGCACATGGAGCTCTTTTGTATTTCACACGACAACAGAATCTCATTTCATGAAATACCAGTTTATTAAAGCATGCTAATACTATACACTCAAAAAATGCTATTGCTTCCTTACCTGCATATTGCCGTTGCTTTCCACGGAGCCATCGAAGAATATAGCTTTACTGTCATTATATTCATGGTATCCTTCTCATCCTTACCTATGTGATAATGGGATATCGCCATGCCTGGATCCTTGTAGCGATCCTCATTTGCTTCAGGCCGCTCTTGATCTATAATAATCTACACGCTCTTTTTCACTGCTGTTCCTCATCGGCAAGATATGCTACGGACACCACACTAACATCGTCGCGTTCGTCCGTGCGTCCTTATTTTGCCATGCTAAGCGGTTCGTTATTTGGAGTACTCGATGGTGAGATATGGCCGTGCACGAATCGCTCCTTTTTAGCTGACTTTGGTGTATATATATATATGATCCACTATAAAGTACACGTGTAGCGTTTCTGGCTGTTGCTCGTCGACACGACATGGTAGAGACACCAGACCACCATCGTCGCCTTCGTCTGCTCGTCCTTATTCTGGCACACTAAGCGGTTTGTTATTTGGAGTACTCGATGGTGAGATATGGCCGTGCACGAATCGCTCCTTTTTAGCTGACTTTGGTGTATATATATATGATCCACTATAAAGTGCACGTGTAGCGTTTCTGGCTGTTGCTCGTCGATACGACATGGTAGAGACATCAGACCACCATCGTCGCCTTCGTCTGCTCGTCCTTATTCTGGCACACTAAACTGTTCGTTATTTGGAGTACTCGATGGTGAGATATGGCCGTGCACGAATCGCTCCTTTTTAGCTGACTTTGGTGTATATATATATGATACACTATAAAGTGCACGTGTAGCGTTTCTGGCTGTTGCTCGTCGATACGACATGGTAGAGACATCAGACCACCATCGTCGCCTTCGTCTGCTCGTCCTTATTCTGGCACACTAAACTGCTCGTTATTTGGAGTACTCGATGGTGAGATATGGCCGTGCACGAATCGCTCCTTTTTAGCTGACTTTGGTGTATATATATATGATCCACTATAAAGTGCACGTGTAGCGTTTCTGGCTGTTGCTCGTCGACACGACATGGTAGAGACACCAGACCACCATCGTCGCCTTCGTCTGCTCGTCCTTATTCTGGCACACTAAACTGCTCGTTATTTGGAGTACTCGATGGTGAGATATGGCCGTGCACGAATCGCTCCTTTTTAGCTGACTTTGGTGTATATATATATGATACACTATAAAGTGCACGTGTAGCGTTTCTGGCTGTTGCTCGTCGATACGACATGGTAGAGACATCAGACCACCATCGTCGCCTTCGTCTGCTCGTCCTTATTCTGGCACACTAAGCGGTTTGTTATTTGGGGTACTCGATGATGCGATATGGCCGTGCGAGAATTGCTGCTTTTTTTTGATTTTGCCAGTTTGCTTGTTAAAAAAAAAGAATAAACACGTACCGCCAGGGCTGATGCTCCTTAAAGAAAGCTAATCGCATATATTCGACGTTGTCATTCGTTATTCGCAGCCTCGTATAGCGTATACAAAAAGTGGCCTGTACTGTATAGACTGGCGCAAGTTTTGCTGTCTTTGTGCTGTGGTCATTGCTTCAATGGGGTCAAATCGTTCGTATGGTAATTAACTTTGACTGTTGTCGTGAGATGCAGTAGCTTCCGTTTGTTGTAACGTTTGTTGCTGTAGTGCTGCTGTTGCTACTGGAGTACGTTGCTGTCCTCGTCAAGTGGCTAATAGTTTCAGCAATTGCTACTAGTAAAAGAGATTAAACCATTCGCCATCCCAATGCCACAGCTCTTCCAGCATATAAACATCCCTTAAGCTAAATACCTTTTTTTGCAAGCGCCCTTGCTTCGATATGTATAGAATAAAAAGCGGCAGTAAACGAGTGTGCTGAAGAGTAAAAAAAATAAATGATAAAAGAAGTGGAGCTGGCTCCCCTGCTATTTTTCTGTCTTGCTCACCACTTTCCACCAATTACATTGGCCGAATCCCGTTGTCATTCCGTTGTCATCAGTCGCCACTTTAAAAATCCCGTTGTCATTCCGTTGTCATCGGTCGCCACTTCAAAAATCCCGTTGTCATTCCGTTGTCATCGGTCGCCACTTCAAAAATCCCGTTGTCATTCCGTTGTCATCGGTCGCCACTTGAAAAAGTTTGTGGAAATCACACTGTTTTTGCCCAATGAAAAACGCCAATGGCGCCGGAAGCACTATTTCTCCGAGCACTCCTGCTGAACATACACAGCTCAAGTAGATATAACGCAACAGATGACAAGACAAATTTATTTTGCGGCAGTGTGGTGCCCATGATGATGATAATGTGGTGGTGATTTGATGATGACGGAGATGGGTATAATAGTAAAGAGACAGAGAATAACAGTAGAGGATCGCTAAAAACGTCGTTCTTTTTGGCGGGTGCTAATTTATTTCTTTTGTTGCCTGGTTTATAATAGAATCGCATATCCATCCCTGTTCCTGTCCCTACTCCTTCCAAAATCATCGCAGAGACATGCACCACAAATCGTCGTGTTCAGAAGAAGCTGCGCGTTCGATTGGTGGTTGTTGTGTACAATTCGAATCAGTGGATCGTGAGACCGTCGTCGTCTTCGTGGTTGTTACTTTTATTTTTGCCAGTAGAGTGTAATACAATCGCATATCCACCGACCGTTCCTGCTGTTACTTTTTCAAAAACCATCGAAGAGACATGCTACAACAATTGTCGTGTTCGGAAGACGCTGCGCGTTCGATCGGCGGTCGTTGTGTACAATTCGAATCAGTGGATCGTGAGACCGTCGTCGCTTTGTGTGTTTATTGCTGTTATTTTTGCTACTGGTGTATAAGAACATAGCACTGGCTCGACTGTTGTTGTTCGTACTCCTCCAAAACCCATCGCAGAGACATGCAACAACAATCGTCGTGTTCGGGAGAAGTTGCGCGTTCGATTGGTGGTCGTTGTGTACAATTCGAATCAGTGGATCGTGAGACCGTCGTCGTCTTCGTGGTTGTTACTTTTATTTTTGCCAGTAGAGTGTAATACAATCGCATATCCACCGACCGTTCCTGCTGTTACTCTTTCAAAAACCATCGCAGAGACATGCTACAACGACCGTCGTGTTCGGAAGAAGCTGCTCGTTCGACTGGTTGTCGTTGTATGCTATTTGAATCAGTGGATCGTGAGACCGTCGTCGCTTTGTGTGGTTATTGCTGTTATTTTTGTTGTTGTACATAAATAGCACCGCCATTCTCCATCGTGGCTATACAATGTACAGGAAATCATTAACACAAGAAACAAAAAAACACGCACAAGGCCGTACAGAACGTTCACGAGCAAAAAGACGGCTAGCCTTTACCTCTTTTCCTTGTAGATTTACACCAGAATCAAACAGTAATCGTTGGAGCGAGTCCAATTCCTATAGAAACAATCAACACAATTCTGCTCCATCTACTAATTAAAACACGGCCTCCCTCCCCAATGCCTAAATGTTCTTCAGCGAGGTCGCCATAAAATGTGTTACCTTTTTTTTTTTGAAACCGTCTTCGCTATTACATTAAAAAAAGAATATAGTAAAGTATTTTTTTGTGGTAGAGAAAAAGAAAAAAGTAGAGCGCCCTTTGCTGTTCCCCAGTAAATTCGCCCATTTCCACCAATTACATTGGCCAAATCCCGTTGTCATTCCGTTGTCATCGGTCGCCACTTGAAATAAATTTCCGTTGTCATCGTTGTCATCATTTTCGCCGTGGCGACCAGGTCGCCACGCCGAAAATGATTCTAGGACTGGTCTCGGCTGTTTCGTGATCGCCAACTATGGCTATTAAAGAAAAGAGAATCGTAGCAGTCAATGGCAATAACAATTATATTTCTCCCCTCACGTATGCCTTTAAGAATGTTATCCAAACCACTACATATCACCTTGAAGGATGTGTCTCGGCTGTTTCGTGATCGTCAACTATGGATATTAAAGAAAAGAGAATCGTAGCAATTAATAGCAATAAGAATTGTCGTGCAATACAACATCAAAACAAATGAGAACCCTCTTGTGTAACCCTAGTCGCGAAAGCCATTGTGTCTTGTAAAAAATCCGTATGTGCGCTTAGCATAGAGCTCTATGGTAATTTAAACAGAGATCCGTATGAGAAGTTACCATAGAGCCCAAAGTCTACAACGCAGCATGTTGTGTGGTTGGAAAGTGGCTGTACAACCGTCAAAACAGCCAAGAACTGATCAACTATGTATATACAAAAAAAGAAAGTTATATGAATTAGTAGTAATAAAGATCATGGTGGCGGGCTTCTGTCAAAAGCTTGCTTCCCACGCTTTCAGGCTGTACCCTTCTCTTCCTTCTGCCATTCACCAACCGCAATGACTTGAGACTTTTGTTGTCGTTTGCAATGCTAGATTCAGTAATGTTAACTTTGACATTGTTCGTTATAAAAACTACTTTATATATGTGCAGCAAAGAAAGAATAATACTCACACGGCAACAAGAGCACCTTTTTTCGAGTGACGGACCCGCTTTATACACAAAGAGAGGGCATAAAGAGCTTGCTACCGTTCAGGTCGTACCTGTCCGTTCATTCCACCATTCACCAACCGCAATTGTTTGAGATTTGTGTTGCCCTACAGTGTACAATTCCGATTGCAATAAAGTTAACTTTGACATTGCCTTTGACATTGTTCGTTGTAAAAAATACTTTATATGTGCAACAAAGATAAAATAACATACACTTTCGCTGACACCGCGACTCGATCAGCTGCAAAGATTGTTGTACGCAATGCGCGAATTGCGTACTGCCACCCACGTTGAGTGTCTGTAAGAGCACCTTTTTTCCAGTTACAGAACCGCTTTATACAAAACCACAGGCGATCAAATTATACTTTATGCCGCAAAATCGACGTCCATGCGCACACATATTGTTCTGCTTGCTATACTAGCCATGTAAAACAAAGTCCGCTCCAAAGGCACAGCACTGTAGAAATCTAGAAAAAGTATAAAGCACGTCATGACGTTTTCTGTTGCCGGCATTAGTACCTTCCCATAAAGAATTCGGCGGCAGTCTTTTTTTTTATGATCAAATATGTATGTTTGTAAAAGAAATGTAATATGAAGCATACTTTCCGTGAAAACAACCCAAACCATTGTATGCTGCCTTGAGGAGATCGACGGCGCCCGTTTTCTATGATCAACTATGTATATAAAATCAGAAAGTACCATCAGTGACTAAGAGTAATAGCAGTCAATAGTACTACGAACTATAATGCACTCTCCCTCGACCGTATGGTTGAAGATGTCACCCAAACCACAACATATTACCTTGAGGGCGTAATCGCCGGCTGATTACGTCATCGTCACCTACATACATCGAAGAAAAGAAGGTCATATCGAATATCAATAGTATTGCTGGGTACGCATCATTTATAATAATCATCTTTCATATAAAAAAGTGTCATACCGTTATAAATTGCGCTGATGAAACTGTGAGCGGTCCTTGCTTGATCGTGAACTATATAGAGAAGAAGGTCATATCGAATATCAATAGTATTGCTGGGTACGCATCATTTATAATAATCATCTTTCATAAAAGAGAATGTCAAACCGTTATAAACGTATCAGTGTTTTGACCACCATCATCTCCATCACAACAACAACAACAACAACAACAACCGCAGCAGCAGCGGCAGCAACGCTGGTGAGCAAGAACAGGATTAGAAAGAGCGAGCAACAATAACACCCGCATCTCATACAGTAGAGCTCGCACAACATAGTGCTGAGCCTTTCGACGTGGATGTCTGATAGCAGAGGGTTTCGGCGGTTCGTCGAAATGATTTTCTTTTATTTTTAAATGTCTTATCTTATGGTCGACGGAAGAGTATTGCGCTGTTTGCTGTAATGGAGAGATCATCAACAGGGTTGAGCAGCCCGCAGCGGCACTGTAACCTGACAACAGCTCAAAGCTAAGATTCCCGATTTTTGTGTGAAATTCAAAGAGGTGTGAGAATTGACGGATCCTGCATTTAAGTAAACCGTCAACTCCTATGTATTAAGTACATAAAAATAAGCACTGGCTATGGTGTGCTTGCATATCGGTAGAATACCTTCGCCACAGATTTTATTATACTATAAAAGAGAATACAGAGCGCAAACACATGTATAAATACACTGTGGTAAAACACATCATTACACTACCTAAATCATCATCGGAATAAGGTACTCGGCTAAAAATCAAGCAAAAGCATACACAGCAATTACCATGGCAATAAGCTAAGCACTGTCGCATAGAGACAATCCAACCGAGTTGTGTAAAGCACGTAAACATTATATTCGGATGATCCAGCATATGTAAGGCTATTATAACCCGATATGGACTGACGCGATATGATGCATAGACGTATGTCATTTGTGATCTCTTAATCTCTTATACGATTATTTACCAAGAAAAGGGAGCCGATGATGCACTCAGAACGGAAGTT